GGCTCTCGCAATCTATCCACCTTTTTTAAAGAAGTGGCATAGACGTCGTAGCGGTCGCCAAGCTTGAGCGCGTGCTCTTTGGATGCATCTCGCTGCTCATGTGGCTCAACTACCCGCGGTACCTGGCCTTCAAGAAGCTGCGCTACCTTCTCTGCGTCCTCGACGTACGTTGCCTTCTCCTTATGGACCAACACCATCGTGGCGTAGGCGTCGTTGGCCATGATTGCGAGCTACGCGCTATACATGGCGGTCATCGTCGTTGGCTTTGCCCAGTTTCGGTTCCTCTCGGCGACGTCGGCGTCGCTCTGGCATCATGTTGTCGGCGTCTTCCACGACGTCGTGTCTCAGGACACGTCCAGCGCCATCCGCGGCCATGGCGCCGAGTGGCCCAGCATGCTGTACCTCGTCAGCATCAACGTCTTCGCCGTTCCGTTTGCCACGGTTGACAATCTGCTGCATGCACAGACACGTCATTCCTGCACGTAGATGGTCCTCGCGCCGCATCTGCGGGCTGGCTACGCCGGCTCGAGTCGCGAGCCGGAAAAGCCCATCGAGCCGCCCAAGCGCGCGGCAACCAAGTCCAAGCGCAGCTTCAAACGCAGCATGAACACCTTTACGCGGAGCCTCAAAGCCATGCTCGAGCAGCGCCAGCGCACGATCCGGAAGCACGCGTTCGCGCCGTGGGAGCAGTCGGACGTGAGCTGGAGCGAGCGCAGCATCCACGTGGACGCGGCCAAGCCCTCGACGGCGCCCGAGCTGCTCGCCAAGCTCCGCCGGCTCGTGACGACCGCCGACGCCGACGCGGTTGCGCTCGACAACGGCGTCGCAGGGCTCCTGTCGCGCCTCGAAGAAGCCCACCACCTCTTGCGTGCGCAGTACGGTCTTCTCGACAAGCCCCGGACGCAGACACAGCCGAAAATGCTTCGGCAGATGAAGTCGCCGCCCGAGTCGTACGTGCACCGCCGCCACAGCTCCAACAAGTATGTGCGCGAGGCGAGCTTGGAAGAAGAAGAACTTGTCTGATATACAATAATCGTTGGTTGGAGATCCTCACGCGGAGCAGAGCTTTGTTTTCGGGCCGTGGTACAAGTGGCGCATGCTGTCGTTGCTCCGGACGAGGACTGCGACCTTCTTTTGTATCCGCGAGAAGCGCTTCTTGAGCTTGCGCTCCTCCTGGAAGTACGCGATGACGCGCTCCTGGCCGTGCTGCATCGCGACGACGACTGCGTTGTCCGTCGCCGCATCAGGTCGGTGCAAGTCGAGGAACATGACGACCTCGAGGTGGCCACAGCGCACGGCGCCGAGCATCGCCGCTGCCGAGCAGCCCTCGAAGCGGTGCTCATGCAGGAACCGAACGACCTCGAGGTGGCCGTGCTCCGCCGCCACGTCCATCGTCCTGCTCGAGAAGCCGTCATAGTCAAACTGGTGCAAGAAGCGCACAATGTTGAGATGCCCGCGCCGCGCCGCGCAGTCGACGGTCTCGGGGTCCCAGATGCCGTCGTCAGCCACGTCATGGGCGTACTGGGCCACCTCGATGCGGCCAAAGACGCACGCGAGGATGAGCGTCTCGGACGTCACGGGCACGCCGCTAGTATCGTGGAGGTACGCGACCATGCTCAGATGTCCCGCGACGGCCGCGTTCGCGAGCACCAAGTGCAGCGGCCCCGAGACGCCGAGCGCGACGAGGAACTGGAGCACCTTGAGGTGGCCGTGCCGACCAAGGAGGTCCCAGTGCAGCTCGTCCATGTGGAGCTGGTCGGTCGCGACCAGTGTCTCGAGCAGACCCATGTGGCCGTGCACCATGGCGTAGCAGAGCAGCGGCGCACGGACGTCGATGGGCAGACACGACACGAGGTCGGGTTGGTGCTTGGCGAGCCACCATGGCAGGACGTGGCGCAGATGCACAAAGGCCTCGGGTACCGAGTCGTGCAGATCGTAGCGCGGAAGGTACATGCGGCGGAGAATCGCGAGGAGCGTCACGCTGATCTCGTCGTAGCCGCGCTGGTAGGCGGTGATGGCGCGGACGAGGTCGCGCGACCGCAGCACGCGCGTCGTGTTGTCGGTGCGGACGAGGTGGTCGAGCGCCGCAATGTCGATCTCGAGGATCTCGACCTGCGCCGGCAGCGTCGAGCCGAAGCGAGGCATGTCGTCGGCGTTGGCGTTGCTGCTGCGGGAGCTGATGGAGTGACCAACTCCTCGGATGACGACGCGTGTGAGTCACAGATCCCGCGACCGGTGTTTTTGTCCCCACGCTCGGCCACATGGCGTCGACACAGATGGCGACAGCACATCATCCAATATGGAGGTACCATGGAGGTGCATAGATAATCATTGGAAGCGTCCATGGCAGTCATCTCGCCAGCGTTGTCGTACGTGACGCCGTGACGTCGACGTTGAATGTCGCTGTTGCCAAGGAGCAGGAAAGAAGAACGCAGCGTCCGTTTTGGTGCAGAGGCTACTAACTACGTGTGTGAAGGCTGTGTTATTATTGAGAGGTCGGTCGCCGTGGTAATGCAATCGTCCAGAGGTTCTTCAGCTCATGCAAAGGGCAGCATCGATCGTGGCAGCATCGAGTCCCAATGAATTGCAGAGCGGTGACGTTCTGGCTTCTGGAAATCTGATTCAAGAAACCCGTCCACGCCTCTGACATTAGCAGCTCCTGATGGGCGTGGTTCCTGCAATACAAATTGCACGTAGGTCTGCACATAGATCGACGATCTTAGCTCCGGTCTAGCGACAGCTGGCAGCAACTGCGTAGCAAAGCTCTTTTTACGGTGATCCTTGACTTGCCAAGGACGTCGCTCATTGGTAGATATTCCACGAAAAAGACGCGGAATGAATGGGATTGGTCAAAAAGTTCAACAACCTCTGCTTCCAGCCACCCGGGTGCAAAGTCCCTCGGGCGACCGTGCAGCAGCGGCCCGCGCCTCGTGCTCTTCGCGCTTGACCTTTGCCTCGGCCAAGACGCGCCCCTGTGACATGGCGACCTCAGCTCTGCGGCCATGCGCGCTGCCGCGCAGCGTTACCTAACACCCTTCAACGCCCGTGATTGGGTGCACCCATCGCAGCCACCTGCGTATATCGGAACCATGGCCGCCGTCGACGTCGCGTCGCTCGACTACCTCTTGGCGCCACGAGCGGCGACGAGCTCTGTGCTTACGTCACGCGACCTTTTCGCCCTCCTTGCAGCCTACCAGGTCGGCGTGCCCGGTGCGACGCTGTATCTTGGCCGCGTCTTCAAGGAGCTCACGAGCTCGGGCGCGACGCTCCACGCGCGGACGCTGGCGGCCTTTCTGGACGCGCTGCCACTTTGGTTTGAGCGCCATGGCGGTGACCGCATCGACAAGCTCCTCCCGGGGTACCGCCGCCGCCGTCTCGTGCACTACGGCCTTATCCTCGGCAACGTCGAGATTCTCTCTTGCTTCGAGGCGTGCCACGTGCTCCAGATTTCGGAGCAAGACCTTCTTCTCGCGGGCGAGCATGGCCATCTCTCGATCGTCCGGTTCCTGCTGCCGCGGATTAGCGTCGTGCACGCCTCCATGATCATGAACCAAGCCGCCGCCAACGGCCACCTTGACGCCGTCACGGTGCTCCATGCGGCGGGCGGCAAAGCGTCCGAAGCCGCGTATGCCGAGGCGTGCGCGAACGGCCACGACCACGTCGTCCGGTTTCTGCACCAAGTTGGGTACCGGTACTTTCCGCCGACGCTGGTCAATGACGCTGCGGCGCGCGGCCACCTCGGCATGATCCAGTTCCTCCACGACATCCAGTACCCGGACCTGGACGCCGCCGTCTCGATCGCAGCAGACAACGGTCACATGGAAATCGTCGAGTTCCTCTTTGAGCGGCGACCGTATCTCTGGTACGCCAAGCGCAGCAAGGCTCCGGCGCTGGCCTCGACTCACGAGCACTCGATGGCGCTTAACCTCCTCGTGGCGCGCGTCCTCGGCACGAGGGACCTCTTCCGCCTCGTGGTAACCTACCAGCGCGGCTGCGACAAGGCCACGCTGGCGCTGCGCCAGCTCCTTCGCGCCATCGACCTCACCGCCGACGACGTTCTCGAGACGCTTCCGGCTGCGCTCGCGCCGGTCCACGAACGGTTGCCCGCGTGGGCGGCGGCGCGCGGGGTCGAGCACATTGGCCTTTACTTTCCGCCCAAGCTTTTTCGCCACCTCGTCTGCTACGCACTCGTCTGCGACAACGTGCCGGTTTTGCGCGAGCTCCCGATCGAGCTGAGCTACCACGACCTCGAGCTCGCGGGGCTCCACGGCCATCAACGAATTGTCGCCTACTTGATCGAGACGTACGCCAACGCACCGCACTTGCTGCGCATCACGCTCAAGGGTGCTGTGCGCAGCGGGCACGTCGAGGCGCTCCAGCAGCTGCACGACGCCGGCGTCGACGTTCCCGACGGCTGCTTCCAAACGGCGTGCGAGCGCGGACACCTCTCGGTCGTCGAGTACTTGTACGAGCACCATCTCGGCGGCGTCGACGGCGGCGGCAAGCACATTGTGTCGCAAACCACGATCAACGGCCACCTGCCCGTGCTCCGGTACCTGCACGCGAGGCGCTTCGAGGGCTTTGACAAGTTTGCGCTGCGGTACGCGGTCGAGCTCGGGCACCTCGGGATCGTGCAGTTCCTCCACGAGATCCGCACGGAAAAGATGTATGGGCTCGTGTACGACGCCGTGCCAGGCGGCCACCTCGACGTTGTCCAGTTCTTGCATCAGAACGGCTACAACCACGACATCAAGGGCGTTCTGTGGTACGCGCTCAATAAAGGCCAGCAGGACATTGCGCGCTACCTCCAAGAAGAGACGGCGCTCAAGAAGCGCTGGTCCCGCTTCCAGAAACAAGTGTCGGTCAAGTTGCAGGACCTCAAGAAAGCGATCACCCACCGCTGATACTTCGATGTTTTAGTATCTATTCCACACTAATGTTTGAGTGGAATTGCGTGGCGGAGGTGCGAGAGCGACGGGTTGGCAGCAACCTCTGCGAGCTCATGTGTTGCATCGATCGCAAAGACGCGCCACGACTTGATGTCGAGCACGTAAATGACACGGCCAAACCGGAGGCTCAAGAGCCCCGTGAGCACGGCCGAGGTCTGGTCAATGTAGTAGATCTGCTTGTGCGTCCACTCGTCCGTCGCAAAGTGGTAGCGGGCGGTCGCGTACAAGAGGTACGACCGCTTCGAGAGCGGCGCCAAGTGCGGCCAGCGCAGTCGCTGCACCACAAACCAAACGAGCACGAGCGCGCAAATAAGCCCAAAGAGCGACACCATGCGGCGCGTGCTACCGATCGCAAAGACGCCAGCGTGGCAGACGAGCTGCGCATCCACCGCGACGACTGTGCAGCGGTTTTGAAGCGAGAGGGAGTAGGTCACGGGCGACAGAAGCGTCCAAAACGCGGTGGTCGCCCACACGAGGAGGTTGCTCTGCGTCGCGTACACAGCCGTGTACTGGCGCGTGACGACCGAGAACGCGTCGTTGAGGATAAAGACGAGCCAGCCTGTCTCGCCTGCAGCCATGACGGTCGAGTACCACGCTTGGGGCGCGGCCACAAAGTAGTAGAGACCGGCGGTTTGCGTCAAGCGGACACTTGCTGTAGCCAGGAGGCAGAGAGCGGTGGCGCCTCGAAGCAGCAGCAGCGGCCGTCCGATCCAGACAAGACCCAAGACGCGGTTCAGCGCAAAGAGATTGGAGCCTTCGAGAAACCCTCGGTTAGAACAGAGGTACGCGAGCGCTAGCACCGCCACGATGATAAGGACCGACGTTATGTACAAAAGCACGTAGCGGCAGTAGAGGGCGACGTTGACTGGCACCTCGAGCGGGTTCACGGGCGAGACGACTGCGTGCACGAGCGTCGAGAGGGTCGTAACCGAGCCATTTTCACCGAGGAACGTGACGACTTCGCGCAGGCCTCGGACCCAGTCGACGAGCTGGCTCCACGCAAACACTTGGAATCCTTCGTCGTCAAAGACGGGTGTCTGCAGGAGACGCCCGGTCTCTGTAAACTGCACGAGCTTGAGCTGCACCTCCTCCGTCACAAAGCGCTGCGCTGCAGACGCAAGGCGTACGAGCGTCGCATTGGGCGCCACGTGCGATTTGAGAAAGGCGGCGGCATTCGTGAGCATGGCTGTGCACGCGGTGGGCGAGCCCTGTTGCCGTACGCAGATGGCAGAGGCGTTGAGCGTAGGTGTGTTTATAGCGATGAGTGCCATAAGAGCCTTGACGTTGGAGATGTCGAGCTCTTCCATGGCACCGAGCGCGCAAGGACCACTAGAGCCAAAGGCGCCTGCGGTCACGGGGCTGGGCGCTTCCGACGGACAGAGGAGACTGCCACCGGTAAAGAATCCCACCGACATCCACTCGATGGGAATCACAGATAGCGCGATGGGCGTGCCAATGGCCTGAAAAGCGAGCGCTGTGGCTTCGTTGGTCGACGCCAGCGCCATTAGATAGGCGTGGGTGTGCTTGTACCATTGCCGCAGCACGGCTGGGCACGTCACGCGTAGCAAGAGGTTGGTCCCGAAGGGTCCAATCTGCCTTTGAGTAAGCGCCAGATTCGGATCGAGTGGCGCAGTCAGCGTCTCATTGGCCATCAAAAGAGAGGCTATGGTGATGTTTGCAAGCGCGTAGAGCGGACTCTGGCGCAGTAGACTTCGGCCGACGATAAGAGACGCGTTGCTCGTCACGTGCCAGAGGTAGCTCGCGAGGGGTAGCTGCATCTTGAACGACGTCTGCGTCACAGGGTGCAGCGAGCTGTTGCTGTATCTCAGCGTCAATGGGTACTGAATACCGATTGCGTTCTGGATCGAGAACGTCTGGATCGCGCCAAGTGTCTTGTACGTCTGCCACTGACCACTGTAGCGCGAGATGCTGTGGCGTTGCCAGTACAATACCTCGTCGGCGACGCTCCCACGCGCTGATTGGAGCGACGCGAGCCACCGACGACCGTCGCTCGTCTCCTTGATTTCACGAAAGAAGCCGACTTCGAGGGAGTTGCCCCAGCAGCTCTGCAGCTCCTTATGGTTGGCGTTGCGAAGCAGACCTTCGAGGTACACTGCGCCGTTGGTCGTTTCTGTCGCTCGACATTGATCCTGACGATACGCCGAGGTTGCGAGCTCCCACGTCTGGTTGAAGTCGAGGTAGCAGTAGGACGAGGCAATCCAAGGCGTCAAGCAGCCGTCCATGGAGCGCAGACCAGCAATGACGTTTGTGAGTGAGTTGGCTTCGTCTTGAATCATGGACGCGTAGAGCACGGAAGCTTGCACCGTGGTTGATGACCCGTTGTAGGCGTTCGAGTTGTCGGCGAACGCGCGACTTGTGATGTCTACATCTGGTGCGACCGATGTAATCTGGAGCTGCCTCGAAAACCAGTTGGCCAAATACGTCTGGTGACTGCTCGTACCAAAGGCGCCCAGCAAAAGTCATTGGCCATCGCCGTCTCGGACACGTAGATAAACGTGTAGCTTCCCGCGACCGAAAACAAAACGTACGCCACGCCTGCGATTGCCCGTAAAATCAGAGCGACGTACGACCGTGTTGGGTTCACGAGATGGGCCGACGTTGTCGTCGTCACAGGGTTGGTGATTCTCTGGGGCAGCATGTTGACCAGCTGCGGCCGGTCGAGCACGAGCCAGACTTTTATATCAAAGAGCTTGCGTCGGAAAGGAACGATGCCCGTCATGATCGCCGTCGTCGAGTCAAGACGCGACGAGATGGTGCGCGCGTGCGAGAGGAAAACGTCGGCAGCCGCCGGCACGAGTGCGTGGTTCGTGACCAATCGCTCGCGTCGCTTGGTCATCCAGCCAATGGCGACCGGCAACAGTACACAGGCCACCGTCACGAGAGAGCCACCTAGGAAGCGGGTCCAACTGCCAATGGCCACCGAGCCACCGGTGCAGCGCGCTTGGTGGCCGAGCTGAGCAATGCCGCAGTCATGACGAACGGTCGCGATCGCTTCGTAAGGCAAAGCAGTTTCCCAGAGCACAAGGATCGACCACGCAAACGTGCTGCTGTACGGCGCGTAGATCCTGGCAAAGCGTCCCGTTGTGGGCAAGAGAAAGTCCACGAGGACGTACGAAACCCACGTCGCCTCGCTCGCAATGACCATGACGCTTGGGAAGGACCGCGGTTCGAAAATGAATTTCGTGATTCCACCCGATTCGCTCAGGACGACGGGCGACGTGCTCAGAAGCGCGAGGGCCGAGCACCCACGTAGGAGCAGCAGCGGCCGTCCGATCCAGATCGAGCCCACGACGCGGTTATAGGAAAAGAGGTCATAGCTCGAGGCGCGCGACCGCGGGTCCCGACAGACGAAAATGCACGCGACGACGGCGCCGAGGAGAAGCGTAATGTAAAGTGCCATGTACCAAATGTACGAGCAGACCTTCTGCGGCATCTCGAGCTCGTTGGCTGGAAGCGACAGAGAGGCATGCTGGCGTGTCGGTAGCATGAACGACCTGATGTTGCCATTGAGCTGGTACACTTCTCGGCGACCATGGAGCCAGTCGTAGAGAATGGTCCAGCTAAAGAACGTCCAAGGCGTGAACTCGACCGGAAAGAGCGTTTCTTCCAAGAAGAGGGGTGTGTCGTTGACGGACGCAAATTGCAGCATCGAGAGACTCAAATCACCGACGGCCGACGACGCCATCTTTGCTAGGGTAGTGTCATTTGGGACATGGGGAATTGTCGTTGTTAGCAGAGCAGTGCAGGCACTGGCGCTGTCGCTGCAAAGACTGCAGATGCCTGGGATCTGCACTACGTCCAGCGCCATGGCCACGGCGGCAAAAACGCAGCGGCAGTGTCGATCGTATAAATGTCCTCCGTTTCGGTTGCGCACGCGTCGTAAAAACCAATCGGCGGCTGCACAAATGTCTGACCGGACGCTCCAACGCACATTGGGTTGCCGCCAAAGTACGTTGCATTCGAAAGTCTCCACGAGGGCGGTACGGCAGCCACTACGATTGTGGACACTTCTGGGACACGCGATTGACTTTGGATGGCTTGTACAGCAAGGAAGAAGGTCGCGAGGGCTGCGGGTATCTCCACAAGCGTCACGTCCAGATTTCCAAACAAACCAATGTGACCGTGCACGAGTGAAATCAATACCGACGAGTTGTCGTTGATGCCGTAGTTGATACTCTCCCAGTTGTCAAGGACAGGCAGAATGCCTCGTACGAGGCTGCAGTTGCTGTACTCGCACTGCCACAGGTCGTTCCAGAACCCGTTGTAGCCGCTTGAGAAAGTCCACTGCGACAATGGGCGCTGCACAAATGGAATTTGTGCAATCGTGACGCGCTGCTCGTGGCCGAGCGCGTTGACAATGAGAATACTGTCCTGTAGCCCTTGCTGGTAGTAGTTGGTGACTTGAGTCTGCCAGTAGCTCAGATGGAACTCTCGCCAGTGCGCAACTTCGTCAGGCACCGAGAGCCACGTGTGCGCCATGAGAGCATCGACCCACGCCTCGCCAGCCAATGACGAGGCGGCGATGCCCCGGAAGACGGTCGCCTCCAGCGGCTTGGCAAAGTCGTCCGTGGTCAACATCGCAGCTTGAACATTGCGCAACATGGCTTCGAGATACACACCCGCGTTGTTGCGGTACTGCTGTTGGCACCGCGACGCGCGGCCGGCCGACGTCGCGAGCTCGTAGCGCCGATCCAAGTCGGCCCAGCAGTACTGCGCAAACATGCGTATGTTTGCGCTAAGCGTGTTGGTGCGCATCACCGCAATCGCAGTCTCCATTGGCAGAGCCGACGACTGCAAAATGCGGCGCGGCGATGCGGGATCGACATCCATGAACGTCGCAGGTGTCGAGTACGACTTGGCGATACTGAAGCGGTCCGAGCAGAGAGGGAACTCGCCAGCTTGTCCGAGCCGCAGCTGCGCGTTAAAGACATCTCCTAGGAACGTTTGTGTCGTGCGCGTAGCAAACTTGGGCCACCAGTGGTCGTTGGTGGCGCTCGGGCCCAAGATAGCGAGGTACCACGCACTTGTGCTCAGCGTCCAAACCAGATAGAGGTATCCGACGTAGCGCCGGTGCCAGCGCGCGCCCTGTGGCAGGGACACGTATACCGTGCGTGGTCCTGGTACCACCGGCACACCCGGCATAACCTTTCTGCCAGCCGTTTTCGTCGGTTGCTCCTGGAGTGTTAATTTCAGTTTCTACCCTACCCCTCCTCGTAGACACATACGCGTGTATGCGCTCGATGTTATTGGCTACACGATACATTGCAGCGCGCTAATACGCAGATCGTCGACGGGAAGGTCGCCAACTTGCATGAACGTGACGGGGCCGCTGATACTGCCCCTCGAGATGGTCGCAATCGGAATCAAGATGCGCAGCCGCCGCTTCCACCGACCAGGCAAGAAGCGAGCAATGGCGAGCGTGAGGTAGTCATTGAACCGAAGAAGGAGACCAGACCGCGTCGGCACGAAACCAAGTGTCATGACTGCGAGGATGTGCGTCCCGATCTGTCCGGACTGGACGTCGACGCAGAGGTAGCGTGCCTGAAGGAGCTGGTCGAGGCGCTTGCCGCAGCAAAACGTCTCGAACGTCGTCGCAGGAGCCTGATCCAGTGTCGCGAGCTGAACTTGTCTGAAGCTCATCAGTTTTGCGGCGACGAAATGACCATGGGGCTGGCTTCGTATGTACGTCGTGATGCCAAGCGTGTACACCGTGAGCAGACACAGATACCCAACAACGCACCCGACAACGGGGAGATTGATGGCGTTGAAGCAGTCGCCAACACCAAAGATGCACGGCGCCGGATTCGTTCCGACCTGGAGGCTCTCGTTGTAGGTGCAGCCGAGACACACTTCAGTGACCGTGACGGCCAGCGCCAAAAGGGTGAGGAACCCGCGGTGGATGACGCCAGTTCGAATGAGCGACGGCGTGAGAGCGGCAAAGAGTTTGGACGGCCAGACATGGGACACGATCAAATTGTGGTAAAACGATACGACTGAAATGAGGCAGATCGAGACAAGCGAGTCGGACGTGAGGATGCTACTCAGGTTAAAGACGAGGTAATACTTGCCGAGAAGCGAAAACACGAAAAGCACAAGAGAGTACGTCGTGGCTGAGACCAAATCCACGAGGATCGAAACTGAAATATCGCTCTTGACCGACCCGAGGGCCAAGAGAACGACCACAAACTGCGCAATGTTTGTTGCTAGCTGCGGTCCGAGCCAAATAAACTCGGACGTGACGAGGTTGGTGTAGCCGTAGTCCACGTGTTGGAGCACGTCGAAGCACGGGTTTGGTGCTTGGAGCCCCAAAAGCATCTTGGCGCCATTATGTTTAAGGACGGAGAGGAAGCTCACGACCACGATTGCCGCACCGTCGTCTCGAATGCCCTGGAAACTGAACGGGTCGTCAATCGTCCGGACCCACGCGCGATTCACGCGAAAGTACCCGAGACCGGCGACGGCCACCGCGTCTGGCACCGGCGGTTCGCAGAGACGCTGGTCCAGAAAGTTGCCGTGGTACACAAAAAACATGACAGCATTCGTCCTTGCACCGCCGCGCGCCTCCTCGCCGTTGTGGAAGTAGTTGACGGTCCACGCATGGTAGATCTTGCGCTCGGTGTAGCTCACGCAAAACCCATTGACCCACCTGAGGGACGAGCCAGCGGTGCCCACACAGCGCACTGGCCGCAATGATGATGTGTTTGGCGACCCACCGTAGATGGCAGCAGCGTCCAGGTCGGCTATGTAGCTTGTCAAGGCGGTGGATTCCATAGTCGAGAGGTACTCGCTAGTATTCGTGACAAGTTGCACAAATGCCACTGGATCGGCCAGCTGGGATACGATCGAGATATCCTCGAGCGACATCAAGAGCTCCGAGTTTGCTGGTGCGGACAGAAGATTGAAGAAGCGGAGGTTGTCGCGCTCGATGATGGTGAACGGGTGCAGCTGAGAGACCTGGACACCGTTGAACGTATTCGTGAGGCCACGCGATCTCGGACGTACGAAATAGAAGACGGCGACGCTCGATATGATAAGGCCAAGAGCAGCGTCGTTGCAAACCGGATGCGGTGCTGAGCTCGCCGAACCTTCATCTGGCTTGAATCGGGCGAGGTATCGCGTACAGACGCGACTGGTGGTGCGGGCGCTACGGCTTTAACAAGGCTCCACCGAGGTATTTGTCTCGTCTGCGCCTGGACCGTCCACCGAACCGCACCACCGCTCACCCGCTTTCCACTCCCCGCCATTAGATAACTTGGCTAATTATAGCCTTACGAGCGCCGGACACTATGGATGGCTGTACTGTCGTCTGCGCGTTGCATGTGTCGACGAACTACGTGCTCTATAGGCAGCCACTCTCGGCCAGGGGTACTACTTAATAGCTTGTATTCAACCCTGATATCGACGAGTCGCACGCTGCACTTAGCAAAGAACTTTGGTTTGATCGAGGACACTTTGTGGTCTCCTCGGGCGAAACGATCACAGAAACGGACGCGATGCAAGTTGCGCCCATGGAGTCCGCGCCGCGAAGCGGCCTCTTGTCGCATCACCCGCATGGTCGATGGGATATGCTACGCGTCGCATGCGGCTTTGCCTACGTCTTCTTCTCCCTGACGTGTGGCTGGTTCTACTTGACGCTCCTCACACCGGCGTTTGCCAACGATCTCTGGTGGCCGGGTTACAACCTGAGCGGTTACGAGGCCTACCTCGTTGATGCCACCAACGCAGCGCTCGTCACGACGGCGTCAGGGCGGCTCGACCTCCTCGCAGACGCGGTTATGCAGCGCAAGGCGTACGACGCCAGCTCGTCCTCCACGAGCGTGTACCCAACGTACGTGCGGCACCTCGTGTTTCATGAACTCACGAGCGTGCGCTATGCCATTGCCAACTTGCGCTCGCTCGGCGCGCCGTGGAGTCTCCGCATGAGCACTCAGTATTGCTTTGTCGACTTCAACCAGAGCTTCCACCTCGCACACACGGCCCGTCGCCAAGCTCGCTGCAAACAAATCTACGCTCGGAACGGTGCCGTGTACCTCGAAGCCGTCTTGCGTAACATTGATTACGACGCATTTCAGGCGACGTGGGGAGGCCCCGGCAACTGGTTCTCAGTGGCGGTTCAGTCGACGCTCGAGGCAAGCGTCGTCGGGCGGGAGTGGCTCGCTACCACATCGACAGCGCGCGATACGACGCCGATTGCAGCCGAAAACGATCTGTGGACGTCGGTGGGCATCGATGCATTTCAGCTGCAGTGGACCAACCGGTGGCAGCCAGGTATCTCCGAGACCATTGCACTCGCCAACGCTCTTGGCTACGAGCAGCAGGTGACGCTCAAGAGTCGGCCTCGTCGTGCCGGTGCCTGGACGTCGATTGTGCTTTTTTGGTTGCCATTTGTTGATATGTGGGCTGCCACACAACTCAACGTGAGTCTCGTCAACAACACCTCGGTGGATTTCGGCGGGTGGTTCGGCCTCTGCCAGGCTGGTGGCGTCTGCTACAACCAGACGAGCGTCGTACACAGCTCTGTCGGGCCGCTACTCTCGATCGACGCCTTCTATGTCCCACCACCGACAGCGCTGCGTGACATTTACCTAGTATTTCAAGCCTCCCTGTACGCTCGACTGGCCTCCGACAGCGTCTTCTTGGCCAAATATACGGCGCTTCAGAGCGTCGACGCTCAGCTACCAACGCCGCAGCATTGGCAGCAACACACGACGTTCTTCGGTGGCAGTCTCTTGTGTTTGCACATGCCCGGCACGGAGTATGTGCAATCTCCGTTCGACTTTGACGATGCGTGCACTACGCCGCACCCGTTCCTCGTTGCGCTGCGTCCAGAGGCAGCTCTTTTTGCCGCCTCCGCGCTGCCAGAGCTATCGCTGCAAGGCATTGGAAATGTCGTTCGTGAGGTTGGGCGCGTGCTGGCGTCCTCCGCCTTTCGCAACGCGTCCCAGAGTGTCCGCACGCTCCAGCCACAAATTGTACAATTTGTTGAGAAGCAATCGATGTGGTCACTTTTGCAGCAGCCGCTGCTCGATGACACAGCGTTTGCCGTCTACGGCTGGATCATGCTCTACGACTGGGTGCAAGGCCGGCGCGAGGTGCTTTCGCTGGAAGGTGATGCAGCCTCGATCGCGCTCATTTCGACGTCCTATGACGCCCAGGAAATACCAACGAGCGGCGACACCCGCTTTGTCAAGAACGCGTCACAGATCGCCATCTACACGACCGCGTACGCCAGCACCGTGCTCGCACTCGTGGCGCTTCTCTGCGTCCTCCATAGTGTGCGGCTCCGCTTTCGCATCCTCGGCCGCAACCTCTTTCAGTTCAACCGCGTCGTGGGCATAGGTTATGTCGGGCGACCTATCATGCTTCTCCGCGGCATGACCGCAGTCATCTTTTGAGCTCGACACATACCAGCTTGGCTCGTCACGGGCCCTTTACGCGTCTGTGCTCAACGACGTTATCGCTCTCTCAGATTGTACTGGTCGCGGGCGAGGCCAACTGGATGGCCTACGTCGCCATCGACGTGTTTCAGATCCTGTCGCCAACGGCGACGGCCACGTACGCAGGGGCGACGAGCCTTCTGGCGTGGGCATCTACGATCGTAGTGTCGGTCCTACATCCAGTGCTTTTGTCGGGTGACCTCTCACGCAACTGTATCAGCCACGACATGGACTATGCCGTCTCGTGTACGGCGGGTACCATCTATGTCGGAAGCCATGACCGCTTCACGACACTCGTTTGGATACAAGCGGCAAGTGCACTCGGTCCGTTTCTCTTGACGCTTCTATGGCGTCGTTACCACCCAGTGCCATCGCACGCGATACCCCTTCTACTCTCGACGACGTCGAGTGGCGTTCTCACCTCGTGGCATCCGCGTACCTCGTGGTCCATGGACGAAGTGTCGTCCGTGCTATGCGCGCTGATTCCGCTGCGTGTGCTCGGCACAAAGTACGTCTTTGATTTGCGGCTCTGGCGCGTCTTTGAGGAGGAACGGTACTGCCATGACGGTTCAACCCACCTTTTGCGGCCCCCTTGTTTGCGCTTTCAAAAAACTTCGAGAGAGCTCGCTTGGACGCGCCGTCCACCCAAGTGGCCATTCAACTTTCACCGTGGGCTGACGCTGCTTGGTATGTGCTACGTCGTCGTCTCGATCGCTAGCAGTGTCTCGTACTTGCAAGTGGCCAGCGTCAACCTCGCCAACGACCTCAAGTGGGCCAGCTTTAGCATTGACGGCATCCACACGTGCTTTGCCAACTGGCTCAACCAGCAGCTCGTACTTGGCGTCACCTCGGGCAATCTCCGGCTGGACTCACCCTTCTTACTGCAACCAGGTAGCTTTAACGGTCCGCGGGGGGTGATTTCTGGTCCATTGCTGTACGGCGCGCGACTACAATACACGGAAGCGACGTCGCTCGATGGCGCCATCTCGGCGCTTCGACACATGGGTGCTTGCAACGTACCGTTTCTCGCAACGTCGTACTGCTTTCTGGACGCCAATCGATCGTGGGCGCTGGCAAGCTCGCTCGCTCGGCAGGAGCGGTGCGCCACGTATGCCGACAACGCTGCCGTGTACGTAGAAGCCGTCTTGCGCAATGTGGTTTGGGTCGATTGGCTTGCGTGCTGGGGCGACGCCTTTGCAGTGGCCTTTGGAAATGACCTTCAAAGCTCCAACGAAGGCCGGCGCTGGCTCACCAATACGATTGACGCACAAACTTCGATTCTAGACGAAGTTGCCTACTGGCGCCGCTGGAACGTGACGCACTTTACGCCTGCGTGGCAGAATTTCAAGCTCATTGGGCTTCAGAACGCGTACACGATTCAGAATGCCTACGGGCACCAATACGCGTTCACGCTCCAAGCCCAGAATGGCACCTACCGCCTCCGACAGCAGACCACGTTCAAGATGAACTGGCCGCTCACCAAGGACTTGAGCGCCGTCACCACCAACAGCAGTGGCATACATGGTTGCAGCTTGCTTGCGACGAGTGCTAATTACGCGTTTGCCAATACCACGCGCCAAATGCTGCTTGTGCTAGCTGGGGAGCTTGTTGCACCACTTTCGGCGGGATCGCAGCTCGTCGCCAGCACGCTCGGGCCCTACGGCACCATTGACACAATCTACGTACCCGTGCCGCCGCGCATCTCGGACGCGTACCGCCTCCTCTTAACGGGTCTCCGCATTGCGCTCAATGCCAATCACTCGGCACAGGCCGACTTTTTCGCCATTTCAATTGTCGACGCATTGTACCCCGTGCCCTCGCCGTGGCTGAAGGCTCCGATCGCGGCATTTGGAGGCTCGCCGCTGTGTCCCGCACTGCCCAGCACAAGTGGTGACACGGCGATCACTTCTGGCATGAAGAACGTGGTTGCGTTCTCGGCCTCTTGCTCGATGACGACAGGCTTGGACGCCAAAATCGCACCGACGACTGACCACCTCGTTGTTGCGGCCTTGCTTGCCAACACCATTGGCAACGCGTCGGCGTATGCAACGATATGCGCGCACGACCCGACCAATCTCGCTGCGTGTCCAGGGTATCTGCACCAAATCTCGGACTTTGTGACATGGCATCTCCCGACTGCGATCCGCGACGCCGACGAACTCGGCGATGGGTTTCGACACGACCTTGACTCGCTTAACGTCTCGTTCATGCAATATGCGCGGTATCCCGGTGCGCCGGCGCTGCAGCTGGCGACGCAGCCGCTCTTTCAGCCGTCGCGATCGTTTGACTTTTTCGCGTGGTGTTTTGTGTACGACTGGGTCATCGGGCACCGAGAGGTCGTAGCGTTTGTCGGGGACATTGGCAACTTGACGCTTCTCACAGATTACGAAGCACCGCTGACCCACGACGCACCGATCGAGCTCGCGCAGTACTCGCGCCTCGTCTCGACGTACGTAACGATCGTCATGATCAGCATCGCCTGCCTCGTGCAGCTCTACATTTACGTCGCGCGCGGCTACGTCGAGGCGCTGAACCTTCTCGAGCTCAACCGCGTCGGCGGCATGGTGTGGGTCGGTCGGCCGCTGCTCGCGATTCGAAGCCTCTCGGCCGTGGCCTTGCTAGCAACGGGCACAATCGAGCTATCGTACTCGGGGCACGTCAGCCGCTTCGTCGAGGCGCCCAACGCGTGGTACAAGACGTGGCTCGTTGCGACCGAAGTCACGTGGCTTGTTGCGATCGTCAACGACGTTGCCATGGTCTTTACGCGCGCGCACACAACGTACTACGCAACACCAAACAGCTTCCTCGTGTGGTTCATCACCGCGTCGCTCAGCTACTTTTCGCCCGTCGGGCACACAGTCACCATCGACCGAACGTGCAGCCTCGCCGACCTCGACTTGCAGGTCGTCTGCAATAGCGGCAACATCGTCATCGGCCACGTGGACCGCCTCGTTCTGATTGTCAGTATCGTGGTGGGCTGCAACGTGGTTTGCTTCCTCACCGCCTGGAAATGGTTGCGCAACGCATCGCCTTCGTCGAGCAGCGACTCGCGCATGCTATGTGCGGGCGCCAAGTACCTCTTCTTTGATGCGCACTGGACGGTTGGCAACATTTACTACCTCGACCGCGCCTCCGCCGTCCTCAACGGCATTTTGACATATCGGCACAAAAATCGCTTCTTCGCACTCGACATCAAGCGCTGGTGCATCTACGCAGTGGAGCTACCGACGACGTGGCGCGTCCCCGAAGATCATCCGCTGTACGCGGCATCGCGCCACGCGTTCCCGTTGACCGATTAATGCATGTCTTTTATCGCATCGGCTCGGAAAAGCGTCACTGTCATCGCCCCGCGACGCTGTTGCGAGCGCACTAGTTGCTAGCCACACTTTGTGTCGACAACGACGCACAGCAGTCTGCCTTGCACTCACATCCTTCTAGGCGTTTGACACAAGCTCTACAGCAGAAACTCTAAACTGTCGGGTCTCTATTAGTACAGGTCTGCGAGTGCCCTCTAGAGCACAAAACGACGCCAAGGTGATGTCGACGCAGCAGATTTAGGTGTGTCCAAGTACTCGTGTGCCGGTGATTTTGACGTGTCGCATAGCTTGTGGACGCTTCTAGCCACATGTTCGAGGCGCGAGAGGTAGCTGCCCACAAATCGCTCTTCGTACAGTCCATCGCGGTAGCCCAATAATCAGCACCTAGACGCAAACAGAAATGTCACTCATCACCAAATGTACACGGGATATTTTTCGTACTTTTTTAGAAGTTTTCGTTGCATTCAATCGAAACCATGACGAGGTCTACCAGATGGTCAAGATTTGGCACATCAGTAGAGGGCGCTTTGGAAACCGCGGAATGCAAGGTAGCGTGAAGCATAGAGTGACAGCGAGATGCGATCCAAGATGCATTCCAAACTAAGATCGTAGTGCCATCTGAGAAGCACCACTCCAGGACGCCGACACCACTTGACCAACACCATCATGTTTGAAATGGCATCGCCCATACCGGTAGCTGTCAGCGTGAAAAACGACACTTCGGGTGGTAGGCAAAGTCCTGGGCCGCCGAGTTGGCCATGAGCTGGACGTCGTCGATGTGAAGGTCAGCGTCGTTGGTGAGGAAGCGCTCGAAGCGCGAGACAAGCTCGGCCTTGGTCATACCGGTATCCTCAGGCAGCCGCCCCACGTAGAACCGCTGGAGCATGGGAATCCAAACTTGACTAGGACCGAATGCACGGTTAAAGTGCGGATCAACCGACGCGCACTTCATCGAGCTCCTCTCATCGATGGACCGGGTCGTGCACCGTATAGTAGGGGGTGCTACCAAAACGGCAACAAAAGGACAAAATGACAAAAGGATACTAGTATTTTTCTTTTGAGGGGACCAATCGAGTTGAAATGGACCCCCTCCCCACTATAACGCATGAATTTAAGGTCAAATACCATTGAGGCGGTCACGTGGGCAAGTTT